CTTTCTTGTCCTAATGACATTGAAATTCAGTGGAATAAAATCTCGGCCGCCGTGCACGGCGCCGGTGCCCCTGATTGTAGTACTATCAATTATCACCACGTCATTCACTGAATATCCGAGTGGTCGGTGAACATGTTGGAATCCAGAAGAAAAACCCATGCTGGCTCTGAGCACAACGTAACTGGGCGGACTATTAGGCGTGAAATAAGCGGAGTCTGCGCGCTGACAACGAACCCTGGTGGACCAGTCGGGTTCAGGAACTGGAGGAGATGGGAACAGTAGGCAACCATCGCAAGCTCTCCCAGCTGTTACACACCGCTAGTCCCAGGAAACTAAACGTCAGTGTGACAGTCAGATGCAACACGGGTGTCATGATTCACAACAAGGGGCGCTGTATGGCGCCTGGGCGGAGCGCTTTCAAGGTCAACTCAGTTGGGCCCCTGCTTCTGGACCCCTTCCTACTTAGCTGCTGCAGGCTGTGCCATGACCGGTTAGTTTAGAGACTGCATCGGAGGCTGAAGCTCGAAACGCAATCACAGTTCTCAATCGTTTTCGTGCTGCTGGCTCGGATTCTCCCACCTGCACTATTTTAGGATGGAAATGAGATCCTCTGCAGTACACTGACCCTGTTCGGACGTATGGTAGGAAGAGACCATCCCGACTAACTGTGCATCGATCATGGTGGCAGTATACAAGAATGGCATTTGCCCTGGCTATGCTGACTACAGGGATATTAGCCTAACCCTAGGTGTGACAAAATTACTGGCCACGATCCTCGTTCCTCGATTCACTGTGGAACGGGAGTCTCGGATTAGGAAAGAGCACGCTAGTTTCCGCCCAGGATGTGGCTGTATGAACCACCTATTCATTCTGCAGCATGGGGCTAGAGCAGTGCCACGCATATCGCAGACAGACAATAGCTGTGTTCATCTACTTCAAAAGGGCGTTCGTCTCAGTTGGTCGATGCATTCTACTCAAAATGCTTGCGCGGAACGGTGTTCCTACGAGATATGTGAACATTTTACGTGCTCTATACTCGAACACGACAAGCCGCGTCAGGGTCTACGGCGATCTGTCGGATATCTTTCCATGGATATCTTTCCAACCAAGTAGCGTTCGTCAAGATTATCCAACTTCCTTGTGGACTCCATCATTTTGGCGTTGAACTGCTGCCTGGTGAGATGCTAGTTGATGTTGAGTGTGCGGACGATATTGTCCCGCTTTTTAACGACGTTGGGGTGGTGCAGTCAACTGGATAACTTCTATAGTACTCCCATTATTTGGCATGCGCTCCACACCTTCAGAGTGCAGGACCACCAGCCACTTGATAACCCCTTGACCATTGATAGCGAGAAGCTCCAGGTTGGCGTCTGCCTCTAGCAGTCATGGGTTCGATCCCCAGTAGGGGACCGATGGAATGCGCACCACTGACGGGCCCCAACAGGGCGAAACGCATCTGGTGCTTTTCCGGACTAGACTGTACTATGTAACTTGTGAGCAGCTGGGACGCAAACATTACAATTAAAAGTCGAGGTAGTTGATCACTTCACCTACCTTGGCAACTGCATCAGCAACGATGGGCGCATGTAAACTGAAGTCCACGCATTGTAAAGCTAGAACTGTCTTTTTGAATCTGCGACCTGTGGCTTAGAGAGTTTCTGCCTAAAGGGCCTTGTTTACAAGGCCACATTGAGGACCGTCCTACTCTGTGGAAGCGAGATTTGACCTCTTATCTGGGGACCTGTAGTGCCTTCAAGTCTGGTCATTGTTAGTGTCCAATAGCACCAGCGTGGTCGCAACTACGATGTGCGTGAGTGCTAAGCAGTGATAACTAAACTAGTTTCTTAGAACAGCAGATAGCACTGAATAAGTTGTATTGGCTTGGGCACGTACTACTTATGCCTTGTTTAGTCTGCTGAATGTAGGGTGCCGCAAGGCTCGAAATGGACAAAACTTGACTTGGCAGCGTGAAATGGAGTCACGGACGACAACTGGGTGCCGTCAGTCTGTCTTGCCTTCTAGGCTTGAGTCCAGGTGACCCGCCTTGTGTTTGGCTTGAAACTTTACAGGACATGGCTCGCATTCGGCACCAGTGGTGCGTCTGCTGTCATCTCCTAGTCGGACTGCCTGTTTTAAGTTTGTTTTGTGCTGAGTTATCTACGAAGTACTGGCTGATTATGACGCGGGGCAATGAAAGCTACAAGAAAACTTTCCTCGATGCCGCCTTCTTTGCACCATAGCCAGTTGTTTGTGACGATATTGTTGTTAATACAAGGTTTAGGCGCCCTAACCCTGAATGTTTGCTTGGGGCATTATGGTGTTCTGGTAAATTTCCGTTCTCTCCCTCTTATTATTCTTCGTTCCTGATGTCCTCATGGTTATATGGCGGCGGAGCATCAATTCAAATGGCTGAAGTATTGTTCTTGCTGTTGTTGTTGATGATGATGATGAGTGGTGCTGAGCATTTCACCCGCTCTTCCTGCACTTAATATGCGACGCCGCACACGCTCATTTCTCACGCAATGTTCGCACCAAATGTGAGCTAAGCTGCGAAGACAACGATGGTCTAACATAGCAAAGCTGTTTATGTCGGTTGATCTGATGGGCTAGGTTTCGCAGTCGTACAGTAAGATTAAACGGACGGCTGCATTACAAACCCTGCTTTTCAGAGTGAAAGTGATGTCGCGCCGGTGCCACAGTTGGCGGAGATTGGTAAAAGTGCCTCGAGCTTTGGCTATGCGTTTCGTGCTCATCGTTTCCACGGATGCTTTGTTAGCTGCGGAGATACTTGGATTACTGAACAATTTCCAGTTGCTACTTACTAAGGGTCGGCGCATTGTTTGGGTCATTTTCTATCTTTAAGGATGACTTTGCCCTCTGAGGGTGCAACGCATAGGCCAAAACCATTGACTCTGCTAATTCGTCTACTGCTGTTTGCTTCGTTTTGGATCTGTCACAGTATAGCTTTGGAGTAATGTAAGTCAAATAGTCCACACGTTGTAGGTCATGCCCGCTGAACGCCATCCATCACTTCAATGACGAAAGTTGATAGCGGGCAGCCCTGTCTCACGCTGCTGGAGATATTGAGAGGCGGTGACACTCTGCCACAAACCTTCCCTCTGACCAAACTACGCACGCAGTGTGCTCTTATGACATTCACACATTTCTCGGGCACACGTTTCCTGAACAGACAGTCCAAAGGGCACATCGATCCATCGAACCAAAGGCACCTTTGATGTCGAAACCCCACAACTAGGGTGGGTAGCCAGTAATTATGACGATGTTTCAACAATTAGCGCAACCGTCAATCTTACTATGCGCGTCGCTTCCGTGAAACTCGTTCGGTCGTTTAAATCCTCTTGTACAGCAGCACCTGATCTTCCTCTGTTGTAAAGCTGCCTTCGTACTGCTACCCTGCTGCTATTCTGCGCCTGTGAGACTACGATCGCCGGATTGCTCAGTCACACGCCCAACCAACCGACGGAATACAGAAAGTCAAGGCTCGGTAGGCAGAGGGTCTATTCTACACGATAGGTCAGTTTTATTTATTGGTGAACAAAACACTAATCTTGGAAGCGTTCGGCTCAGCCAATGTGAGTTAATTCCGTCCCACGGACTTTCCATATTTGGCAGAATGGTTCGCCTCCGTTGACTCTTGCTTGTATTTGCTGGCCAATCAGTTCGCACCCGATTCCCGAATTTGGCAAAACAGTCAAAGACCCTTCCACACTCGTGCTGGTGACCTTCGCATGCAGCAGACAGCTCACGTGCTCCTCGGTAAGCCTGTGCGCGACCTCGTATCTGGACATTGGCTCCGCTTACCTCTATTATCCTCTTAACCGTTCTCTAGTTTTAATCTAGTTGTCTATAGATTTTCTTTCGTCTCCAGTACTTATCTAGATGAGACATGTCGCCCAAACCTCTTATTCTTTTTATTTTCACTGACCTTTGTTCTCTGGCACCATCACCTCAGCTTTGGAGTATGCGTTGCGGGAGTACTAGTAGGTTTATCAGACTGTTGTTAACACCATGCCTACGCTTCGCCGCCACGCAACCACCACTCGCTCGAGAGTTGGGTATACCGTGAGGTCGCCTGCCCCTACAGGGATTCGAATCGGCCACCGCAGGGTTACAACGCAGTCCTTTCGGCACCGGTCCATATGGATCTACATGCGCCTTGTTGATTCCTGGCTCAGATCTACCCCGTAATGAACACTCACGGAATTCCCCCATCGGTCCGGTTTCTTGAAATTGTCCTTAACCCGATTGGGTCCATGCTGTGCAGTGTTGCGACAGTAGCCCTTGGGTAGCACTGATCATGGTGACGTCTCTACAAGTTTACGCCAAGACCACACAATTACATGTATAGCTGGTGCAGTTTATGAACCACATATCAATGCGACACAGAATCACATCGAACAATCTTGTGAAAATCGCTCACTTTCCAATTATATGATCCCAGGGTTTTTGTGTATGTTAGAACGTTCGATCTTAAAGTCGTACACCATTTATTTTTACTTGTGTGGTATTATTCTTCCGATCCAGTAAGATGAATTTCGCCACCTGTTTTTACGGACGTCCGGAATGTACGCATAATTGCTCCCACTGCAACTGTTTTCGGTCTCTCATCGAACATTCAGAGCAAACTGCGGTTTCTCATGTCCCCTTTTCCGTTTCCTGTACCGTCCGTACTTCATACTATCGCGAGTTACCCAATCAAAACGCACTCACGCGTTTACCTGTGAATTAAGGTTTTTTAATTTTCTAGTGAACGCACAATCATTCAGTTGAGCAACGTTCGATATATAATAGTTATTATGGAGTGAAGGTTGTGTAGTAGAAAGTCAACAGAAGAATATGTATGAGGAAGAGCCGCGAAAGGTGTTGCAATGGAACTACTTTCGGATGGCCGTCGGATACTTAGTACAAACGTATGTGCATTTTGTCAAACTCGTTTCCGTCGATCTTGATGCTATTCGGTGATCATACTTCTGTTACAGATTTCACATACCCTGGAATGCAGCAGCCTGGACAAGCAGCTTATCCTCAGTTTCACTACCCCACTGCCAGTGGCGACCAGAATGCTCACTTGCTGCAGAGTTACGCTCTCTCTCAACAGGGCGGCTCAAGCGCCCCTGGTGCTATGTTCGGCAGCCAGCCACCCGTCCCTTATAGCTTTGATCAATCGAATGCTGGCTATTCTCAGCCTTCATCTGTGCCGGTGTGTCAAGTTGGAGCCGCTTCCCAGGTTCCAATGCCACCAGGTATGATGCAATTTATATTCTCACTGGACTAGTTGCCGGTGGCTTTGCTTATCCCGATTTCACAGGATCCTTTAATCAGTATGCCGGTATGGGCCAGACTGTCCCACCCGGGCTAACAGCTATGCAAGCTAGTTTGAGTGGTCATACTTTTACGCTTTCATTCACTCGGTGTAGACATGCAACAGTTCAACCCATTGATGACCAACCCTTTTGGCCAGCATATGTCTGCAAATGGCGCAATTCTAGAGGCACTGGCTCACGAACAGGGTCTTGCTGGTGAGTAACAATTTGATATAATTTACGTTTGACCAGGTTTCAATCCTATGGCCTTTCTGCAAGAGGCTTCTGGTGGGGCTGCTCGAGGTTCCAAAACTAAGTACGTCAAGTTCCGATTTTGGTTTTGCACTTTTTCTAAACTGTCTTGCGTCTTGAGCAACTTTTTGGGTGTCATCAGAAGCGTATTTGAGTCAGTTTGCGGAAAGTGCTATTTTCGCCCTGTTTTGGTCACTAACTTCGATTTCGCTGGTTCTGGCGTCAACCGTTTTGTGGGCATATGTGTGAGTCCCCGTTTTTCGGCACCGTTTACGAATTTTTTCCAGACCCTAGCAAAACGGGACCAGCGTATATTTTTATTGTGTTGTTTTTGTGTGGTCCCGTCGGTTTTTTCCGATTAACGAAGATTAGTGTTTTTCAGCCAAAGAGGTGGACTTAACAAGTTTAGTGGTAAGTACCGTTTTGCTCATCGATCTGGTTTCTGCACACCTTTTTCTCTCTTTTTTCTAACACCCCCGCTTCTTACATTGACAATTTTAGGCGGAAGAACAGGCTCAAATCTCCCGAGCGTCACAAACCGTAAGTTTTTAGCCCCTTTCCATGCTTGCTGTTTCTGTAGCTGATGGCCTAAGGGAGGACACGGTGTTTGTCAGTGGCCTTCCTCAAACAATCGACCATGAAACAATGAAAGCTCAATTTGGCGTCATCGGAAAAATAAAGGTTTATCTGCCCACTCACCTCATTATTGCAACATAGATAAATTCCAAAAGTGGAATGCCGATGGTCTGGATTTTCAAAGAAAAGGGCGTCCCAAAGGGAGAGGCACTCGTCACCTACGAGGATTCGCAGTGTGTACAGGCGGCGATCAAGTGGTTCTCAGGTGAGTGCTGGTCGCCTAAACTTGCTTCCGCCCAGCTACGTAATACTACTGTGTTCGAAAAGAAACCGAACTTCTGTGATAGCGTGGTGCGGCTGCTAAGGGCGCGGAGAAACTTGTTTTGTCAATAAGCCACCATTTACCGCGTTTCGCTCTAACTGTTACTTGGCGTACTCTCAGTAGCCGCAGCATGCTCCCTCTGCCAGTTGGCGCGCTGTTTCAAAGCTCGATTTCTTTCCGATCACAGTAGTATGTAGCGAAATATCTATTGTACGCACGCATTAACCTAACGCCCTTTATCGTCAAGTGCCGTGATATTATCCTACGTCACTGCTCTGGTATGCTTAACGTCCACTTCTCGTTCATCTTAATTTTTTGGCACAGAACATGACTTCCTTGGTCAAAAGATTGAAGTAAAGCAGGCTACGAACAGTCAGCGGCCTGTGATAATACCACCAGGTGGTGCTACCGGACAGAACAACGACTCTTTGCTTGCTAACGCCAGCCTTATCGGTTCCGGTGGAAATCGCAACGCGGCCGCCGTTGCGCTTGCGGCCGCTGCTGTGGCAGCAGCGGCAAGTGGTAATACAATGGCGAGTTTGATGAATAACAGTGAAGCAGCAGCGGCTAGTCTTGCTGCTTTCACAGGCACTGGTGCGCAGTTCGATGGAAAGGACTATTCCGGTCGAGGTGGGTCCAACGCTGGTCAGCGCAGTAGCCGTGGAAATATGGCAAATGGTCGTGCTGGTGGAGCGAGCCAAACCGGGCAAAGAGAGGGCGATTGGAACTGTACTCAGTGTGGCAATGTTAACTTTTCCTGGAGAACTCAATGCAACCGATGTCATGTAAGTCGCCTTGTCACTGGTCCAGACGGTAGTTATCGTCAACAGTAGCAATGATGTGTTCTGTACTGACTATTCGCTGTCATACTTAGATGCTGATTGTTTTTTTTACAAAAGTCCCACTACTCGTTGAAGTTTTCCTAATTAGTCATCATCAGCTATCGCTGAGGGGTGTGGTGGATGCACCGAATATCGACAAGGACCGTCTCAAATGTTCGCTTATATTGTAGACTGATTTCTGAGTTTTCCGTTAGCTTGATTGGGGTAATAAGTTGATTCCATAGGTGTCAATAGAAAGGTATCAGCGTTGCATCTACTACGAACCCATACTTCACCGCTTTACAAGCAATTGCACGCTGCACGGGATGCTACGGAGGCACATAAACTCATGAAGCAGATTAGACTCGAGCCCTGGACATAGATGTTTCAGGTCAAACGCCTAAGTCACTACATCGCAAATCTCTGGTGTTCAGCTTTATTGTCCTTGAAACCATAGGCCGGTCCCTGATGTGGGGCATATTTTGATGTTAAGCCTTCGTGAAATAGGGAAAACAGGTGTGGTTGGGAACATCTGGGTTCTGCTCCAACTCATCTTTAATACTGATCCATAGAAGTCCACATTAGCTATTAAAGCTATTCCCTTGATTTGCGCGTCGTACAAACCGTTTCGCTGTGCATTCCGGAGAGAATTTCAGCAGGTCCGCCCAATGGAAATTTCTCACGAACCCTAAACAACTTACTCAAAGCCCTAGGATTCCATTTGCAGTTAAATTGGGTTTGTTAGCCACCTTATAGGAAACCGTTGTGATTCACTACCGGCGATTCCGAAACTCATCTTTCACACCCATCAGCGTCTCCTGATGCCTTAACTCAGCACGGTATTTCTACCTTGCAACTAAAGTTCGGCCGACGAGCAAATAAATGTCAAGGCGGACCCTTTGTATAGGCTGAAAAGTAAACGGGGCTATCTAGTTCGTAGTTTTATTTCGATACATACTAGAACAGCGTCACTACAGTTCAAATGCAACCATTTCTCAGTTTCAAGTTCGCATTCGACCCAATCGACTACATCCATTTTAACTTTACTTGCTGTTATATCTTCTCACTTGCTGCGGTTCCGAAACACGCACTTCATCTATTTTGCACCACCTCAAACCCAAACAAAGAAGAATATCTAAGAATAACGTGTTAACCGCAGTAAAGTGAAAACTGTACAAGGGCGACAGACCATGGTCATATTTATAGGTCACCTCTAACCTTCGACTTCTACGATTAGGTCAGCTTCCAAGGTTAGTTGTTCTCCATAGATTTACCTGATGTTCCGGAAAGTTGTTAGTCACGTGCTGACCTTAGAACATTCCAGAACGTTCGAAATCAATGTGATAATCGTTCAAAACCGATTCTCGCTGAAATAGTGGGTTTTCCAGGAAATTCTTAATTTCTTCCGAACTCCTCTCCTCCTGAAATGTGATCTACGGTGTAAGAAGAAAGCCTGGGATTGACTTGTAGTCTCCTGGACGGTGTTTGGATTCTGGTTCGGGTTCTGGGCTCTGTCGTGCATTTTCGTTGCTGGACTGACAGCCATCATTCATAGGCTCCTTTGGCAGGTTGTAGCTCTCTACCAACAAGTCAAACGGAAGCTCGGCAAGCTTTACTTCCTCTGGTTGGCATAGTGTTGGCCGTAACTGGTTTGTATGGCGAATTCAGGTCTGCGTCTCCACGATCACTTCATACCTCACATTCCCGCGCTTACCTTTAATCATACCAGGTGTCCAACTTGCGTGACCTAACCGATAGTCCCGCACTAGCACTGTCTGCCCTGGCATGAACGATCGTTGCCTAGCCCCATGCCGCCGGTTAAAATCGCATTCCGTTCTGCGGTTCCTTCCGCCAAAAGTGGGCAGCGTAGTCGAATGGCATTAAATGTCATACGCAGCTTTCTGTTCATCATTGCCTGTGTTGACGAAACTCCACCCGGCACTTGTGGGCCTAATGTTGCTCGGTATAGGAAGCGGAATCGGTCAATTACCTCTACACGTCTTTCACCCCTTCGATTTAATAAATAATAATGATAAATCGCCAGCTGTACGCCGTAACGGCGCTTCGCTGCCACGCGACCACCAACAGTCGCGCGTGGGCTGAGTATACCGCGAGGACGCCCGCCCCTACGCGGATTCGAACCGGCGACCTTATGGTTGCAAACCAGACGCGCATACCACTCGGTCACTGGCCGACCCCTTTCGATTTAAGGAGGGCTCGCTTGATAGTATCCGCGAATCTCTCTGCCTGGCCATTTGATTGTGGGTGAAACGACAGTGAGCGGATGTGCTGGACGGCACATTGTCTGCAGAAAGTGCTAAGATGAACTGTGTGCCGTTATCAGTTACAAGTGTCTCTGGACAACCGAATCTGACGAAGATTTGTCGTAGTTTTGTTACAGTTGTTTGGCTCGATGTGCTGTTCATCAGAAACACTTCAGACCATTTGCTGTAAGAGTTGACAGCAATGAGTAACTGACGGGAGTTCCGTCTTCACTGGTGCCGTTGAAGCCGCAGCGCACTTGTGACAACTTGTATCCATTTTTCCCGGTTGTCCATGAATGACCAGTGCACAAAGCTTCGGGCAAGTGCCTTCATCCGGTTGACCCCAGGATGGCCAGCATAGCACTGCCTAAGTACTAGCTTTTGTAGTGCCTTTGGGATGACAACACGTTTCGAGAGCAATATGCAGCCGTTCACGATGGAGATTGCATGCCTACTGCTGCAATTCGGTTGGGAACATGTGCGTGGCCAACTGGTCCTGTTGAATTGTGCAACCATCTTGAGTACAGGGTCACGAAGCGTTTCTGCTCGTACAACTTTTGCAGTCACTGGTAGGTCACATAATGTGTCACTCACAAGAAATATGACGTCCAGTTCAAGTTCAACTGCGGGTATGATCTTGTCTTGCTGATGCAAGTCTGTGAGGCGTGGCAGTGCGTCCGCTTGGCCTGTGGAAGCGGTCGTTTGGTAGCTGATCTCCAAATCATAGCTCAGCAGGGTGCGCACATCGTTGGAGACGTTTAGCCGTGTAGGCAGGGATACCGTTCTTCGAGCCGAAGATGGCTAGCCATAATTTGTGATCAGTCAGTAATTTGAATCTACAACAATAAAACATCTTATGGAATTTCGTCACTCCAAAGATTATGGCTAATGCTTCCTTTTCAATCTGGCCGTAGTTTCTTTCGGCATTTGTCAAGTCCTTGCCGCATGAGCAACCGCTTTCTGGGATCCATCCGAGTACAAATGCGAAATAACCGCTCCGATCCCTTGATTTGATGCGTCTGTTGCGAGAATGATCTTCTAAGTTGGGTCGTAATGGGTTAGCAAGGAGTTTGAGGCCAGTAATGACTCGATTCGTTCCAAAGTTCGTTGGCACTCTCGCGTCCAGTTCCAGGCGTGGTCTTTGGTCAGTAGCCTGTTCAGCGAGGCACGCAGGCGATGCAACTCAGACAAAATACGCTGTAGTGACTGATTAGACCACAGAAGGAACTTAGCGATTGATCATCTCTTGGTGGAGGCATCTTTCTTATGGCTTCGATGTTTGCCGGATCTGGTCGATGGCCATTCTTTACAGGAGTAAAACCAAGGTATTTGATAATCGGTGTGGAGAAAGTACATTTGTCTCCACGAATTTAGAAACCATGAAACTGGATACGACCAAGTACCCCCTCCAAGCGGTCAAGTAATGCCTCCGCTATTCGACCCATTACGATGACGTCCTCAAGGTATGCGGCGGCTCCAGGAACGCCTGCCATGGTATCCATCAGCTGTTGAAAATGGCTGGGGGTCGTTTTTACGCCAAAATACAAGCGGTTGTATTGGTACAACCCACGGTGGGTGTTGATCATCAATAGCTCTTTTGAGTCCTCGGCAGAGAAATATGTAAATATTATCCAAGGATTATATGCGCGTAGCACGGGCAGAGTGAGGGCTTACGGCAAGCTGTCGCCACCCTTTAATATCTCCAGCGGTGTGAGACAAGGATGCCCGCTGTCACGTTTCCTCTTCAACTTCGCTATTGACGAAGTCATGGAGTTTGCATTTACAGGACATGACTTGGAAGGTGTTGACCTACTCCCAGGAGAACGACTTCTTGACTTGGAGTATGCAGACGACATTGCCCTCATCTGTGACAGCTCCCAGACGTGCCAAGCCGCGCTGGACAGATTAGCACTGGTTGTCAGCCGCTTCGGGCTTTGCTTTGCACCATCGAAGTGCAAAGCTTTCCTCCAAGGTTCGCAGGGGACGCCTCCTGCGCTGACCCTTGGTGGGGATCAGCTAGAAGTCGTTCAGAAATTCAATTACCTGGGAAGTTGTATCAGCGCCCTTGGGATCGAAGACGAGATCACGAACCGTATAGCGAAAGCTCGGAGTGCTTTTGCTAAGCTTCGCCACCTATGGCGGCGGCGCGACATCACTCTTGCCCTGAAGGGTAGAGTGTACAATGAAGCGGTACGTTCGACCTTACTGTACGGTTGCGAAACCTGGCCCCTAAGGTCGGTGGACTTGTAGAGGCTAGCTACGTTCGGCCATCGGTGCCTTCACAGTTTAGCTCACATATGGTGGAAACACCGCGTGAGTAACGAGCGTGTTCGACGCCTTGTGTACGGCACAGGAAAAGGATCTGAACCGCTCTGTACCGTTATTTCCCGCACCAGGCTCCGATGGCTGGGCCACGTTTTACGCATGCCAGCCCACCGACTCCCGCGACGTGCGTTGTTTGCTCACTGGGGATGTGGGTGGAAGAAGAGGAGAGGTGGCCAAGCGATGACTTGGTCCAGAGGAATGAAGTCCATCACTTCGGAGCTAGCCTCGGTCGGAGCTTCACGGCTCCCTGGTTGGGGTCCGAAAGACGGTGAACACGTTTGGCTGGATACACTTGCTGACATGGCAAGGAACTGACCCCAGTGGCGTTCCTGGTGTGAGTTTCTTTGTTCCTCCCTATCCCTTTTAGTCTCCCCC